GTACGTGGACATCCCCCAAGGGCTGCCGGGCTGCCAGAGGGATGTCTGACTGCCAGCTTGGGCCTGATCCCCCAGGGAGCGGGCCTAAGACAGCAGGTGGACATCCTCCGAGGGGTCCCAGACTGCGAGAGAGCACAGGCTGGGCTGAGGAACCCCCCCCTCCGAGTGCACAAATTATTGTGCACCAGGCCTCTAGTATACATATAAAGAAGAAACGATCATACACATTAGCAATATGGAGAATTAACTATTTGAACTATTTCCTTCCAAGGGCTAATAGCAGAATGATTCCTAATGGGATTGGAATAAAAAAATAAAACAATAAAAACCCAAAATTTCTACAGTTGATAGATAGGTATTTTATCCATTTATTAACCCCTCCCCCCCTCATGATATATACATATATATGTAAAAAATGTGCCTTGAAGGATGTAACTTTTTATCTTGGGAGAAGGAGGGTAAAGGAGCTTTTCTTTTTCTTTTTCTTTTTTAAAATATATTTTATTGATATTTTTACAGAGAGAAAGAGAGAGGGATAGAGGGCCAGAAACATCGATGAGAGAGAAACATTGATCAGCTTCCTCCTGCACACCCCCCACTGGGAATGTGCCCACAACCGAGGTACATGCCACTGACCGGAATTGAACCTGGGACCCTTGAGTCCGCAAGCCGATGCTCTATCCACTGAGCGAAACCAGTTAGGGCAAGGAGCTTTTAATTTTTATCTGTATTGCTAGATTTTTTTTTCAAAGAGTTATTACAAGTATTCATAAATTACTTGTTAATTATAAAATTCTTGCTAGGATCTTTAGAATATTTAATATTTTAAAACTGAAAAACAAGTTATTCTCAATTTTTTTTGCTGTATAAGCAGGTAATGGTGACTGATGGGTTTTTTTTCCCAGTAGTACACATTTATTATTATTTATGAATGGTCAAAAGACTTACAAGGCCCATTATTATCAGTATAACCATACATATGAAATATCACTTAGTGACATGGAGGTGACTGGTGGTTTAAAGGGAGCAACAGGAAGAGGAAACAATTGATTATAGTTCTTAATAGGAAGTCTATATCTTCCTGTTATTCTAAGAGGTTCTCAGTAGTTGCTTAACAAGGAAAAGAAGAAAGTTATTGGACTAAGCCTTTGGGAGGTGGAATTCATGCACTGCTATGATGTAAAAGTTTCTGATTTTGAAGAAGCAAGATGATCTATGTAGCTTCCTCTTTGCTATTCTAATACTCTGTATTTACTCGTGGATATCTTTCTATACTAATGCCCTTAACCTAATTGTTAAAAATGGGAGTTGAAGAAACAAGATGATCTATGTAGCTTCCTCTTTGCTATTCTAATACTCTGTATTTACTCGTGGATATCGTTCTATACTAATGCCCTTAGCCTAATTGTTAACAAGGGAGAAAGTTTCCTTTAATATGATCAGGAAACCTACTTCTAGCTTATCTAAAAGTAACACAACTTTCAGTTGGTTCTGCAGCATGAAGGTGAAGAAATCAGGTGGTTGCTGCATGAACTTGACCTAAACTTGTGTTCTTCCTCTGCTTCTAGTTATCTAGTCTAGAGGTTATGTGTATGGTGTGTTCTGCTGGTAAGTCTCTGCTCTTTAGGCTTAACATACACGTGGGGCATGCATTCCTTCCAGCAGTAGTAGTTTCACTGTTACTTGTTTGGGCTTAGAAATGCTCCTTATCTGTAAATGTGATTTAAAATCTAAGCCATGACCCTTTGTAAAAAAAAAAAAGACGAACTTGGAAAATGGTGTGCCCAGAATAAATGATAGCAGTAATAATAATAATAATAATAAAATAAAATCTAACCTATCTGACCATTTTTGACAAATATATTGAGCTCATAGATGTCTTGGGCCATCAACAAGTTAAATTGTCATCACAAACCACTATTTGAATAGGAGCTATTATTGGATGCTTTCTGAATTGTGTAAGTAAGGAAATTATTTTAGAGTAAAAAAGTCAAAATACAAATATAAAGATCAAAATGAAAAGTTGTGTTGATCATGGCTGTTTTGGGAAGGACTGATGTCCAAGTTCTTCCTTCATGGCATATAATCTGGACTCTTTATTTTAAACATTGATTTTTGTTTTAGGTGGAACAGATCCTAGCAGAGTTTAAGGTCAGAGCCCTGGAATGTCATCCCGACAAGCATCCTGAAAATTCCCAAGCAGGTAGGTATTTAATAGCTGTTTCTCGTGGAAATGAATAGCATATAGAACTAAAAAGCCATTATAACTTAATTTTCTTTTCTCTGTTACTCTCAAACTTACTCTTTTGTTCAATGCCAAAGAATGTTTTTGTACTATTGAATGGTAGGAGGGGAGGGAAGAGTGTAGAGTCTTTCCTCTAATGGTAGTTATTGAACATCCATTTTTCTTTCTGCTGTAATGTGCTGCTTCATGGTTTAAAATCTGTCCAGTTTATGCCTTATTTCACCAGCATTGGAGTGTTAACATAACTTAAGCACATTTGTAAGCAGATGGTTTAGTTGATGAGAACTTTGCTGTGTTTTCTTCATTTCAGGGGCCTGAACATGTCCACATATGCTACATGTCCATATGTATGATAATGTATTCACACTTTAGTTTTTTCATTTATGATAATTTAAAATCCATTATCATAAATTTAGACATAAATGCTTATGTATATCTTAACTTGAAAAAAAAACCACTAATAAATTAAAATCCTTCCTTAACTTACCTTCCTCCTGTTCCTCTCCTTCCCTTTAGAGCAGTGGTTCTCAACCTTCCTTATGCCGCGACCCTTTAATACAGTTCTTCATGTTGTGGTGACCCCCAACCATAAAATTATTTTCATTGCTACTTCATAACTGTAATTTTGCTACTGTTATGAATCGTAATGTAAACATCTGATATGCAGGATGTATTTTCATTGTTACAAATTAACATAATTAAAGCATAGTGACTAATCACAAAAACAATATGTAATTATATATGTGTTTTCCAATGGTCTTAGATGACCCCTGTGAAAGGGTCGTTTGACCCCCCAAAGGGGTTTCGACCCACAGGTTGAGAACTGCTGCTTTAGGGTCAAACTTTCTGAAAAAGAAGTTCACAATTGATTTCTCTACTTCCCTTCTGCCCAGTTTTCCCAGTCTGACTTCCTCCTCACCTTCTTGGAAATTGCTTTTGTAATAGTCACCAAGGACTTCTTGGCTCCCAAATCCAATTGTTGCCTTTTTTGTCTTCCTCTTCCTTGAGTAGCAAGATTTGGTATTGTGGATCATGCCCTCTTTCTCGAAACGCTCTTTGCTCTTAGCAACCTGGGCATGTGCCCTAGGCCAGAATCGAACCTGGGTCTCTTCAGTCCATAGGCTGACACTCTATCCACTGAGCCAAACCAGCTAGGGCCTAACTGAGATATTTTTATCAAGTGTGTGAATAAATACATAAAGACTGGTACAAAAAATGTTTCCCTGCCGAAACCGGTTTGGCTCAGTGGATAGAGCGTCAGCCTGCGGACTGAAAGGTCCCAGGTTCGATTCCGGTCAAGGGCATGTACCTGGGTTGCGGGCACATCCCCAGTGGGGGATGTGCAGGAGGCGGCTGATCGATGTTTCTCTCTCATCGATGTTTCTGACTCTCTATCTCTCTCCCTTCCTCTCTGTAAAAAATCAATAAAATATATTAAAAAAAATGTTTCCCTTATCTTAAAGCTCTTTATTATATTTTTATAGCAATCCTTGATCCTTTTGATTTGTATAAGCAGATGTTTTTCCAATATAGGAAGTCATTTATTTTGTTAAATACTTAGCTATTACTTTTGCTCATTTGATTCCCACTCTTTTTATTAAGGCATAACTTGTTTAAGGCCACAGGAACAAATCATAAGTGTAAACTTGACAGATTTGTGTCCATGCACAGCCAGTTTAACCACTGCCCAGGTGAAGGTGTAGGACATTTCCAGCACGCTTTTCATGTCCTATTCAGAGTCAGACCCTCTCCCATTTGTGGATCTCTGTCGTCATTGATTAGTTTTGCCTGGTTTTGGATTTCATGTAAATGGGATCATACAATATGTACTCTTTTGTGTGTGGCTTCTTTTGATTTACATTGTGTCTATGGTATTAACCCATAGTGCACATGTAGCAATAGTTCACTCTTTGTCATTGCTGGCCCTTTAGGTACAAACCCCCTCATTTTGTGCCCTCCCCCATCTCTCCATTTTCATTTTCTCTCCACTGTCATGCTAGGGTCCATGTTTTAGCCACTCAGAATATTTGGGTGCCATAGGTGCTCTGCTTTCTACTCTTCAGACCTTAACGTCTGCTGCTCCCTCTGCCTGGAACTCCCCTGAGGCCTACACACCTCCCTGCCCTGCTTTGATTGGCAGGTCCTGCTCTGTGTCAGGTCTCAGCTTAGCCCCCTCTTCCTCTGGGAAGTCATGTGGGACTTCCAGAGCACTCTGTACGTCAGGCAGCAAACTGTGTGTCAGACCATCTCCTTGTTGCCTATTTGCTTATTAGTCAAACTGGAAGCTCAGTGAGGCTTGTTCCGATCGGGGTGCCCCAGCAGAGGACATCTACCTACTGCAGAGGACATCTACTTTGTGCAAGTAGTAATTAGTGGAGTGAGTGAATGAGTGACTTCAAGAACATTTCTTTAGAAGACATTAATTACTTCTCTGAACTGGAGTTAATATTAAAATAGATTTTCTAGCATAAAAGTGTAAACGTTTGATAAACACTTAAAAACAACTATCAGCCCCAGGTTACTCTTTAACTGGATTTTTCTCCCAATGAAGCGTGGCTTTGAGTATTTGTCTGTCCCTGGCACAGTTTCTATTTGGGATACATCATGAATCACTGTGCAATCATTGCCGTTTCTAGTTGCCATAGTGATGGAGTTTTCATGTACCGGCTACCTCAGTCTTCTTGTTCAGAGAAACAGTAGACTGTGTAAATATTGTTTAAAATGAAAAGGTACACAGACATCAGTACCTTTCTTTGTCAGCCTTGCAGTTGACAGATGATTCAACCTTTGGGTAGAAATAGTTTTCAAGTCTGTTTAAGCATCTATTTATTCAGTTTGGATGAATAAGGTAAGTGGTTCTTTACATACTTGGAAAAGGATTATGGTTCCTGATAAATATTTTAAGGTCTTAGCCGGTATGCTCAGTGGTTAGAGTGTTGGCTTGTGGACTAAAGGGTCTCGAGTTCAATTCTGCTCAGGGGCACATACCTTGGGTGCAGGTGCATGCAGGAAGCAACCAATTGATGTGTCACTCTCACATCAATGTTTCTCTGTCTCTCCCTAACCCTTCCACTCTCTGTAAAAATCAATGGAAAAAATATCCTCAGGTGAGGAGTACCCCTCTCCCCCAATTTTAAAAAAATGTTAAACAAAAATTCACCCAGATGCTAACTTTTAACTTGACTGAAGTCCAGAATACACTGGAAAGATTTTGAAGTGTATTTCATTAAAGTGAAAGGCTAGCCTGTAGAGCAAGTGTACAGAGGAGAAATTAAACATGTATATATACCTTTTGGACCACTAAATGTAGTGTCAACCATTGCCATTGAAATCACTGATTTGTTAGCATGATGGAGTAGGAAATATGAACATAGGTTGTCTGTCTGGATTGCTCCTAGCTCCCACTTCCAAGCTAGCTGACCAAGGGAAACTTCTCTGAGCCTGGGCATTCTCACAGGTACATGGGTAGACAACAGTATATTACTTCATGTGCCTGCCGTGAAGATTAAACGAGGTGTTCTGCATGCAGAAAGAGCTCATGAATGTTGGCAATTATGATTCAGTGGACTTTCTGTTCTCAGCACTCTAAGATAAATATTGAACAAAATGGAATAGTTTCTTTTTTGTAAGTAACCATCAGAGCTTTCTTGCTTTCATTTAAAAAGAATTCTAAGTCCAAGGCTTCTGGAAATCCCTCCTCCTCTTCAGGTGTGGGAGATGGACAGAAGACTGGTTGTGCTATAGAAATTATGTCTTTGAGCTCAAAAGATCCTGACTGCTGTTCACGCCAGTCCCGTGTATGCGCGTGACAACAACCGTTTCAGGCCAATGGTTTAAAACTTCTCTTTGACCCTGAAGAAAGGGGTCAAAGGTTTTGTGAAATGGTGTTTTTGTTATTGATTTGCGGGCTTCAAAGACATACAGATATTTGAAGAAAGGCAGCTCTTTGTCCCTTTCTATTATCTTTGAATGTCTCAATGTTTTCCTACTTCAAAAACTCTTTAACCTGGCCGGTGTGGCTCAGTGATTGAGCGTCAACCTGTGAACCAAAAGGTGTTTGGTTCGATTCCTGGTCAGGGCACGTGCCTGGGTTGCAGACGTGCAGAAGGCAGCCAATAGAGGTTTCTCTCTCATCAATGTTTCTATCTCTGTATCTTTCTCCCTTCCTCTCTCTCTCTCTCTAAAAAAAAAATCAATAAAAACATAAAAAATTGCTTCTTTTCCTCAGAATAAAAATAATACATAGTAATAAATAATGTTGAAAGTGAAAGTCTGCTCTCTCTGTCAGAGACCACTATTCACAGTTGGGATATTTTTCTTCAGACTTTTCTCAAAGCATGTTCTGACATCATATTATTATTATCACTTAAGTAATTATAAGTGTTCTGCATTTAAAATGTGGCTATAATAATACAAATTCTGTTGTGAAATATGAATTTAAAAGAACCTATGTGTTTTCAAAACAGGAGTTAAGCCACAATGTCTCTCAAAGGCTTCAGCATCATTTGCTCATATAAGCTTACAAAATGAGATCTCTCTTCCCAGAACTAGTAAATATTTATCTTGTGTGATTCATTTGATTAGCTGATATATTAAAGGAGAAATATAAACCCAAACTCATTTTTATTAAATGTGGGGAAGAGGATGGAATAAGGAAAAGGCTTTCTGCTTATCAATGGTTGTTGAGGGACTGACAGAATAATTCCAGGCAGGCTTCTTTTGTTCCGGAAACTCTGGAAAACAGGCCAACAGTAATGTGCAAAGAGAAAGTGACTCACAGGTAAATATGTAAATATTTACAGCCCCTACTCAAGTAGTGTGTGCATCTGTGGTGATAATTTAATGAGCTTTTTATTCCTGTTGGAAAAAGTGACATCTCATTTATACAGAGACATTTACGTGGTCACCAGCAACAGGAAGGATTGCTCACTGGAGCCAGCTGATACAACAAGATGATT